CAAAACACTTGATACTACTTGAGAAACAGTTGTGGATTCCGTGCCAAACTTTGCTTGTCATTACTGGAAGTGGATTCCGCGGTTAACTTTTCAATGGAATTCACTATTTTTTACTATTAAAACTGTGTTTTATACTTTTTCACACTTTGCTCAGTATCAAATCAAAGAAAATAACAAAATCAAAACCGGTGGTAGGCCAGCAGGCCGAAGGGCCAACAAACTGAAATTAACATAACCATTCCAGCAAGCCGAAAGTTACTATTTTTATGCAGCATAACAACAGATTGCCAATTCTAATATAATTTACGTAATTCTGATGTGAATTCGGCTTCAAGATATGGTGGTTGTAGATATGGTGGTTTGTTGCATATCCGTCATTTGATCAAAAACTGCGATGTTTGCTCTGATTTTTAGTTATAGACCACTCTCATTGAGAATCATTGAAAGTTTGTCATTATTTAACTCTTGTTTTTCGCTTCTCAAGAGCTTTCTAATGCGAGCCCTTATTTTTAGCTACTAAACTAAGTCAAACTTCAATTCAAATGATAAAATTTGCAGCTGCTTACAGCCAAGAAGTTAGCCGGTTGTTTTTTACGTCATACAAAAAAGTACGCTAACAATCGCTCCTACTAAAAAAAATTAATTATAAGAGAGGGAAAAATGCATAAAAAAATGCATGAAAAAATGTTTTTTCATTACTTTTATTTTTGGTCGTTTTATTGAGGAGGATGAATTAAGCTTATCATGTGCCCAAAATGAAGATTGTCATCAAAAGTCATTGTGTTATTGTGTTAAAGTCATTGTGTTATTGTATGCTCATTACAACTAAAGGCCAAAAACATAAAATGTTTCAAAACAAAAAAGCTGGTGCAGATACATTGATTTTTCTAAATGTAAATAGCAAGTTCGTTTACATTGGAGCGATGCATGGATACTCCGATCAGCTTTAACTAGTGTGCTTGTGAAGCGTTCTCTAAAAAATTTTCTGTGTAGAGCCCAATAATGTGTATTCTAGGTCTGGGGAGGATCCAAGACATTGGTTTTGCAATGGTTAGCAGGATTCCGAACTTACCAAGCTCTCAATAGATTTATCAAGATATCAGCAGAAACTGCCCAGATCTTAAAAATCCAGAGATCATCAACGCCTCGGCGGAATGACTTGCAGTTTTTTTTACGTTGGCAAGATTTTCCCCGAAACAAAATTTTAATTTCAAAATATTGCCCGGATTACCAAATTATACAAATGTCCAAGATCAAAGCTTGTAGGCATAATGAACCTTAGTGTTTTTTGCTTCGCTCAGACAAGTATTTTGTGGTCCTTCGTTTTTTGAAAAATGAACGCGCTGGTATTTAAAGGCTTAATGTCCAGATCTCTGTCACGTCATGCTTGTGATACAAAAAGTGCTTTTTTCGTATTGTTTTCAGGCGGTAATTGCACCATGAATTGTAAAAGGCGTACTTGGTTGTCAAAATTTTGATCAAAAAGTTTTGACTAAGCAGATGCACATTTAAATTTACCATGTAAATCCTTTTTTAACGCTCATTCTTTCTTTCACTTTTTGTGGCCATGCGTTTTTTGAAAAATGAACGCGCTGGTATTTATAGGATTAATGTCCAGATCTCTGTAACGTCATGCTTGTGACAGAAAAAATGCTTTTTTTCGTTTTGTTTTTCTGCGGTAATTGCACCATGAATTGTAAAAGGCGTACTTGGTTGCCAACTTTTTGACTTTTGAATTTTTTTGACTAACCAAATGCACATTTAAACAACCATGTAAATCCTTTTTTAACGCTCACGCTTTCTTTCACTTAGAGTTTCAGATAGCCTGCATTCGAATTCGAAAACTACAGTGTTTATAGCTCGACCACTTTGAACATTTAAAGCATTATCTATCTTTATAGGATCCCCTTTTTGTTTTTTATACAAGCTTACTTCTGCCAAGTTCCAAATGGATAATATTTTCATTTTGGCACTTTCCCTGGCAACTATCAGGTACTTATGTGGAGTTCATCATTAAGATATTTTATAGTCTTACACAAACTGACACTAGGGATCTTTTTAACTATTTCACCCCTGACGAAGAGGTAGGAAACCTCTAAAACTGGAATAACGATTATAGGCATACATATGCGAATTTCATACCTAACAACGAACCCCCCATTGCAATAAGGGGGCGTGGGTAGTTGAATAGGACTGGTATTGGCCTGCTGTTTACCAGCTTCAATTAAATTTTATTTCCTAAATTTCTCAATATACACAAATTTTTCCGAAGGGTCCCCCTTTGGTATAAATTTACTACATCCATTTTAGGCTGACCAACCTCAAAATTTTTTTCTATAGGCGCTTTTGGCTAATTATAATCAAACTTGCTGCTTTCTGATTGGTCGAAAAATCGAACTATTTAATAGTTACCCTTGTTTGAAAGGGTTGGGTAATTGCTAAGCAGCTCCAAGATTCGCAGTAAGCTACGGAAACGAAGTACTAGTCTCACCAGTTTTGCTGGGAAGGAGAAATATCGAGAACACTGAATATCCTGAACATCCATGGTTTGCTGGGTTTTACAAAGTAAGTTAACTTAAAGTCTGTTGCAGGTTTTCTAACGCAGAAATTGCGCGTAAGTAAATTGAAAATCTGTTATCTTAACTTCGGCTTCTTATAAACTTTTTAGCTCTGATAATCAATTATAACCAAAATGATCAATCATATTACCTCTATTAATCTAGCTCCTATCTCATCGAAAATTAGAAAAAACTAGAGCAAGGTTGTAGATGTGCAATAAGCTTAGTTAACGTAGCAAATTTTAATTCACAAAAAATCAAACTATTTTGGTGCAAATTTACCAAACTTACCCTACACCCGTTTAAGAGGTTAATTCTTGGTACCAAGTTTTCCGCCTGGAAACCAGTACGCAGCATGAAGAAAGCAATTTAATTAGTGGGCGGAATAATTTAAGTGCGCAATTAACCACCCTCTTGTTTTGAAAGGCCGAAAGGCTTTAAAGGATTTTTTTCTCCTATTTCTGAAAAGATCGCGATGGAAAAAGTACTTAACGGGATTGAGGAGGCCCCCTTCAACTTTTTTGACAATTTTTTTTCCGAAAAAGCTATCTTTTACTCTCATTTTATTAAAATGGGAGTAAAAACTGAATCTTTGGCTCGTTGACCATGTTTGGCAAAACTTTCTACGCAACACAGGCATTTTTTTTGGAACAAATATGCTGTTTGTGGGAAATTTTTTGAAGGTTCTTACACAAAATTTTGTTTTGCCCCGCTCACAAAGTTATTGAACTAGGATACAAAAACGCCACAAAAAAATTTTAGACTTGACCGGCTACAGTTTTTTTGGCTCTAATGTTTCCTAATTTATGTGATCGGAAAATTCCAACATTTTGTGATCGGGTCAAAACAAGATTTCTGTAAAAACCTTCTAAAAATACTCACAAACAGCATTAATTTCCTCAAAGTTGCTTGCTGTGTAAAACATTAGTCAAATCCGGTCATTTCAATAGAATGAGGCTGATCTGGAAAAAAATTTGACCAAGTTCAAAAGAAAGCTCCAAAACTAAAAATTTTAATTGAAACTATAATCATTAATGGTCCAGAATTAACGTCCAACAAGAATCTAATCATAAATGTAGTATCAATTTATTCTGCGTAATTTGTTCACAGAGCTACTGATTCAACGAATCTTTTCTCAGAGCCAACTTTCCACTTAAGTAATATATGTCGGGGCAAAATCGGGTGGACGGGGGGTGGTGACCTCCATGTAGTAATATAGGCTATAGAGTATCCGGTCAACACTCTTTGTAATATTACAAGGAAGCGATTTTCTAATGTATTGAGATAGGTTTCACTGTTTAGATGGTAAGATGGTAGCGTTTAGATGGCAGGATAGCAGCTTTTAAATGTATGCTATCACATTCAATTTCCCGTTTAGAATAAAAGTATCTTATTCCCTTTTAGTTTGTTCAATAAATGCAACAGCATGATAAATGGTTTTTAATCCTCTATTAAATGACTTCAAATTCACTGCCTCATCCCTTATTTGTCGACATTTGGCCAGCAGCCTATCTCCAGAGTCTTCTAACGCACGTTTGTTAAGTCCTTTAATGCAAATTTACACATTTGACTTTTAATATCGGAATATCAATAAGTTTATCTATATAGGCAAAGCATTTCCGTGCATTTGTATTCCTTCTTGAACAATCCTGGCTCTCTTTTGTCATTTTATGATGTGTTTGGAGGAGCAAGTGCTTTGGTTAAAAATTATTTTTGGATCTGGCCAGAAATTGTCTCGACAGTCATTGGTACGGCCCACTCTCGCCGCTTGCTGGGAAGGTTACATTCATTTCAATTTTTGTCTGCCACAGCTAATTCGTGAGAATGAGTGTTAATTTCAAGTTCTTCAAACTTGTTAACGTCACAAAGCTTATCAATCAACTTATAATACAGCTCCAAAATCTCCAATTTATGTACTGTAGTGCAAAAAACCCAATAAATTTAATACACGGCGTTCTGCAGTAGATTTAAAAAGCTCTATTTTGTCCACTCTGTAGAGATCTTAAGCTACAATTTTGAATCTTCTAAAAAACTCGTTGTTGATTGTTTTATGTGTTTTTCGTTAACAGCAAGATATTTTGTCATTGTAAACTTGAGTTTGTCTACTTTTTGATAGCCATAGGAACAATATCATAGCAATTTCATTGCTTTGGCTGCCCCTCTTGATAAGAGATTTTTACCATTCGCTTGCCCAGCACCAACAACAGACTGAACAAAACTGTTGACTATTTCACGTGGTGTGCATTTTACAAAACGATGAAATTTTGTGAAGTGCAGTTCAAGCTCCAAGTAAAAATTGAAGTAAATCAGTGTTCCGCTGGTTAAAAGGAATTCAATATCATTATTCGTTGCGCTTTTTCTAACAAACTATTATCTTCCGCATTTGTCTTCATACATTCCCAATATAATTTCTTGTACATCATTTTGTTCTTAGTTCATCTGTCACCTCGAAATCACCTTGCACGTATTTCATATTCCATCTTCAATGATTTGCTATTTTGAATTGGTGGGAAGACGGTTTTTTTTAAATTTAAACCTGGTTCCAATTGGATTTTTATGATCTGCATTATTTTTTCAATTGATCTACGAAATAAACTTCACAGTTTTTTCTATGGAATATCTCTTTTCTCGAAAGTATTAAATTCGAAACTCGTTCTTGTCTCTTCTGTCTGTTCCTCGTTTGATATGATCAGCAGTAGGATAGGTCTAGCGTTTTGACAATGGCAGAGATGGAAATAACAACCCATTGCTCCAAAAACAATGGTTGCAATAATGACCAACTGTGGAGTAGTCTTTTTTTTCTGATTTCCTGTCGGGTACTAGCTTCCACCTTTGCATTTTGGTCTTTTTGCTTGAAAACAAGACGTGACGATTTTTTCAAATTTTCAAACTCGATTTCTCTGTCTCTAAACTTTTGTTTCATACTTTTAGTCCCATCTTGCACACAAGCCTCTGATCACATCATGGCAGATGGAACAAGGATAAAGTTGAATCGGATCAATCCGAACGTTTGATTTACTTAAATTAATTGATTTTCGATTGTATGTTTCATTTGCTACTGCCTTTCTTGTGAAAATACTTGTGGGACCACTGATCATGCTTCCGTTTTTTACCAAGCAAGTGATTACCGATCGAAAAAAAAAGGAATAAAACTTATAGTCAGTTGACTTGTGTAGACAGATATTCGCTATACAGAACAATACTGTTCAGCCAAATTTTATCATGTCTATCCCTTTATGTTGATAAAGTTCGGTAATTTGCTGTATAGTTTCAAGACTGGGAACAACATATTTTTTGTTAGAACACCAGAATATTTCGAAATATTGTCATCTTTTTCTTTTCTCAGATATTTTCTTTTCACTAGAATATTTCAAAATGTTGGCATGTTTTTTCTTTTCTCAGTATATGTACTTTTCCAACAGTTTCAATTTTGCAACATACTCAATAATGAGAAATTGTGGATCTTTTTCAAACAAAAATATGCGTTTGTCGATCAAATTGGATGAATTTGATACTAAAATTTGTTCAAGCATATCAATCAAAGTTAGTGTTTTTGTCGGTTTTAACTCTGCGGATGGTACACAAATTGATTCAAAGTCAAAAATGGCGATTTTTTAACTTTTTTTAAGGTTTCAGATTAGACCTCAAATAGCGTCTCTTGTAAAGTGTAGACGCCTTCTGAATAAAATTTTAGACTCGGTTTTAACTACAAAGAAGATGACGGTTGAAGTGGTCCAATTTATGGAAAAATTTATAGCAAATTGAACATCGGAAGCGTTTGAAGAAGTTGTCGAATGTATTTGTATCGTAGATGCTTCACTGTGTTTTTGTGTCCACCGATATTACTTCGAAATAGTTCACCCAGAAAATCTTCATCTTCATGTTGATATCATAAGTGCAGACTTTTTTGTCTCTTACATTTTCAACTATTGGCAAACTATCCAAAGAAATTCCACAAAACTGTTTCCGATCGAATCCCGAAAGATTTCATAAAGAAGTCTCGATGTGGATGTTGCAAGATAGGTTTCATGTTAAAGAACAACATGTGCTCGCAACAAACACAAGTTGTCAATGTATGGTTGTTTCCCTGAGTCCGTAGTCAAACAATTCTTATGATGGTTTCTCAGAAGTGGTTGGTGAATCATAAAATTTGAGAATTTGGACATCCCATAGGTACGTTCTTAAGCAGTATCGCAAAAAATGGTGCCGTTGGTTATCAATTTGAATAGCCATTTTGTGTTTTCGCTTTCTCTTGTGTACCAACCTCAATTATATCTTGCTTATTTACGTTGTTCTGCATTGTTGTCAAGTCTTTTTTAGCACAAAGCAACATTGTCATGTCAAAGAAAGTGTTGTTTTCGTGAGCGTAGAAATTACAAATTTTGCTTGTTTTTTTTATAACCTAACACAAATCAATCCCAAGGCGATGTTGATTTTCGCTGCGAAGCCAAGTTCTCCCAGAATAGATCCATTTTTTCATAAACTAGACTAAGATTTTATTTCCAACGTTGAAAATTGAATACCTTGTGGTATCTATATTACCCGTAATTCTTTGTCAAGAAGTGTTGACAGTCATTCAACTCATTTTGTAGTTGTTTGCTATACTCCTCTTTTTTCAAAAAAATTTTATGATGTCAGCAATTGAATCACTTTTTCTTGATATTTGGTTTGTGATCTTTATTGGGATTTTGTTGAGTCAATAGTAGCTTAGAAAAATGCTCTGCCATGAAACACACACTTTGTTGACTTATGTGTTTTTTTAACATGCTTCTTTTTGGTATGGAATTTCGTTTCATGTTGATTTTAAGCACATAAATCACTCTCTGGATGTCCAAAACAAGTTATTGATATAATTATACTTTTGTGAAGTGTTTGGAAAAACTGACAAAAAATTTCAAGTTTTTAAACAAAGTAAACAGCAATCGCTTTGAAGGTTAAGAAAAACCAGAACGAATTTGAATTTTATTGCTGTTGTTTAAATAATATCAACCAATCAGATTCGAGTTTTTTTTGCATCATTTTTTTTGGTTTAAGATCAGCCAAACAATGTGCAGCA